GTGGAAACCCCGGCGGCCGGGCCACACGGGGGGTGGGACCAGCCCCTCCATTCCCGCCCCCACAGCCACCAGCGCCCTCCTGTGAGGGCAGAAGAGAACTTGAGTTGTGAGCAGGGAGCACACACTCAGCAAACACAGGTCACCTTCAGCTCATTGGTGAGCAACACTAGGTTACATGAAAAGCACCTGTCCTACTGGTCTGAGAAGTAGAGCCACCACCACAGTTTTATGTAGCGTTACAAAAAAAAAAAAACAAACCACCTAGACAGCTTCCTGTCTGTACATGACAGCCTGGAAACATTTAAAAGTAAGCCCCTGTTTTTTAAGTGTAATAATTACAAGCAAAGAGTGGGAGAAAATGCACTGCTTCAAGCTAGAATCAAGGGGGTTTGCATTCATCCAAGTTAAGTCTCAACATTACTGCACCAAACAAAATCCTTGTTCACACCCTTCCCTCCAATTACATTGTTGCAGTCAGAGGTGGCATCCCTGGCGGCAGGGAGGCTGGATTAAAACGATCTCTAAGGTCCCTTCCAGCTTAGGCCATTCTATGATTCTATGATTCTTGGCTGGGTCGAGGAGCTCCCACCTCACAATCACCAAGATGTGAACCTTGTGGGGCACCAAGAGTCAGCGCAGGGGGTGGGTCTCAGAGTCATCCAAGCCCAGGAGGTCCCAGCCCAGCCCTCGGAGAAGAGCAACCGCACAGGAGACGCCGCAGCAGAAGCACCCCGGCTGGAGCAAGATGCTTCGGATCTACCACCAAGTCTCTCTACTCACGTAAAAGCCAAAGGAAAATCCTGGGCAACTCTGGCTCTGCCCCACACATGGATCGCGCAGCCAAACACCTCAAGCACAGCCCGAGCGACAACCACCTTGGCCACGGCCACCTGCAGGTGGAAGAGAACTCAGTTTCAGTAACAGTTTCATAAGCAGATGACAACTTGAATCTGACAGTTCTGCTGAAAAATCAGTATCTTGCAGCATGTTCCTTCCTCTTTGGACTGGATGAGAGCTCAGCTCTTCCCTGGGTAACATAAAAGTGTTTCAGTCA